TAAGACCGGTCATATAAACGCACTCTCCATTAATGAAGTCTATGCTAGTCCACTTTTGTCAGCGACTGAAGTTGCATACCTAACTTCATTGAACTTTTTTTAGGACAGCAATAATATATAATACATATGTACAATTATATAGACATTCTAGTTCGATATGTAATTTTAAATTATTTTTTAATTCAATTTTTACTTAAATTTTTAGCATCTGTGATGTTATCTGATTCAGTTGCAGAGCTTCCCATATGTTCTCATATACATATATATGTATGTATGTATGTTTAGGTACAAACATTAATAGGTAAACTTTGCATAGCAACAGAGAATTTGAAACTTGAGCATTGCTATATAATCGGAATATTTATTGCCTTCGCCGTTAGGCAAGTCATGTGAAAATTTTAAGGTATTACAACCATGTTACAAAAAGGCTTGAACAAGCTGTAACTTAAGAATCGGGTGCAACTGACTACATAATTCTTGTTCACTTATAAAGGTACATCCATAAAACATGTAGTTGTTCTTCATTTTATTATATAATAATATGAATATATATGTATGTACATAACTATATGAATATGAATTCAAATACCTGAGCTTCAAAAGCACCGTAAATATAAATGTAATGCAAATTATAATTACAAAACAATGCAGGCCTAAAACGAATATACTCCACTTGCTTTGCGAGCGAGTATGAAGAGAAAGCATAGACATAGTTGAACATCTTAAGTTGTTCCTGCTAATTGTTCCGCTTTTCACCAAATGTATATTTCATAAGTTTATACACATGCGCTTATACACATTATTGCGAAAGCGGAAGAAACATGTTTGCTCGAAATATGACCTAAGACATCGCTCAAATTCAGCCACTACTTTGACCTAGATACCTATACCTAATACCTAATCTTAAAAATCGAGTCAAGGGCTAACTGTGGTGATCTACAATTGCTACAATATGTATATGTATATGTATATGTATGTCGTATAATAACAATCAATTTAAACACATAACAAGAGCAAAGAAAATCTGGTATAACTTTTTATAACCTGAGCCCATTGAAAATGAGAAATCAGGGTATAATGGTTTTGTTAAAATGTATGTAACAGGTAAAAGGAGGCGTGGCGGGCCCCACAAAGCAAATATTTATTCTTGGTCAGGGCGATGAGCTGAGTCGTATGTATGAAAGCGTCGATCTCAGAAGATATAGGAGCTAGAGGAGCTTCAAATTTTTGATTCAAATGTCCGTATATATAGCGCGGATATCGATATCACTAAAAATCGATATCTCATCCCGTTATTTTGTTATCGATAAAAACCCCTTATCGAAAATCAGTTAATTGTATCTCCATCTTTATCTCCATCTCAACATCTTTGGAGCTAGAGTCTCCAAATTTTAAAGTATGTTAAGATGCATTTTATACTATCTTAACAAATAATAATATACGGATCTGAGTTCTGACACGGCACTTTCTGCCTGCCTAATGCATTCGCATAAAACCATTCAGCCCTGAATTCCCATATCCAATTTGTTAAGCGCATACAAAGCAAGTGAGTGCAAGTGCTGGATTTGAGGCTTCTAAATCTCGCACGGCCAAATTGTAATGTCCTGAATAGCTATTTACACTATCACCTAGATAAGGCTGCCCCGCACTGCATGATGGCTGAGTTTTTGTTTGAGTTTGGCTTTGTCTCCAGCTCAAGTTGACGAACTGCTGGCCACATGCACTGCAATTGGCCAAGTTGACTTATATTAATGTTCGAGCAAAACAATTGAAAACGAGCGATTGCACTCGCCGGCTTCCTTCAGTGCCCTGAGGCAGAGACAGGATATGCTTTCAAGGCGAATTCCACTTGTCATGCTGTCTACTCTGTGGGCTGACAAATGCTTCGTCACAATTGAAATAGAGTTTGACACAGACCATGATATATGTATGTACTCTGTACGTGTACATACACATGTTTACCCATACATATGCATTTGGACTCTGCCTGTCAACAGCACCTGTGACTCGTCCTGTTCCATTTATGCCACTCATGTGACAAATCGCAGCAGAAAGAACTCAAAGTAGAGCCGAGTCGACTGCAGTTAGATCCATTCCAACGTTTTTCCGATTTCTATTTAATTTTCCATCAATTCACTGTTGACTAATTTGTATCATTAGTCGCACTATTGTACCGATACTCCATTTGGTATCCTCAATTTATGAAAAAAAAAAAAAGCAAAAACCAAACAAACAATGCAAGTTTTTTGAGACAGTTATTTATTTGTGAGAGCACTCAGAGTCGTCTTTAAAGGAAAATACCGAGAGAACAATTGATGAATACTCTCCTCGGTAATCATCTCAGATCTCATTATCTATCTTTACCGCAAGAAAATCGAAATACCGAAACATATACATGTATGTACATGTGTTAATTAATTAAGTTCTATGTTGATGTTGATCGACTTTAAAAAGCAATTATTGTTGATTATAGAAAAAATAAAAGAGTATACTTAATGGGGATAACTTTGATTAAATTAATTTTAATGTATAATAAATAATATTAGAAAGAGACAAAAGTCGCTGTACTTTTTAGATATACCTCTCAAATTGCTACCAATATTTGAGAACCACTCTTAATCCAAAGTACTTGTTATGGACTGCCTTTTGTCTATAGCTTTTAAGGGAAATGTAAAATTATGTTCATTATTTTTTGTAATAGAATACTACAAAATATTTGATTGCTTTTAAAATATATACCAATTAATATAAACAAGCCAGGTTAACAATTCTACTAAACAGAAGCATATCATCCCTATGCACAGGCCTGCCCTCTCTTGCATCCTGTTGTTCTTTGTATATTTGATGTTATCTCCACTTTCTTGGATGCATTTATCAGAAGTTGCTGCTGCAATTGCTGCTGCAGTTGCAGTTGCAAGCAATTGCTTCTCTTCCAAGAAATAAAAAGAATGTTTGGCTGTGGCTTATCGCTTTTTGGGTTTTATGACCAGCAATTGTGAGGTGAAAGTGCCATAAAAAATGCATCCATAAAAATGCAACGCTGTAGCGTGAAACTGAATACGGAATACTACAGGATTTAAGATTGTAATGCAGCTACACTGCCAGAAAAATAAAGAACGTAATAGAAAATCGAAAGGTATAATATAATATTATTGTGCATAGCCAACTGTTCGCTCAATGTAAACACTGTGCTAAGGAGTCAGTAACTCAAACAAAAAATTCTAAATATTTTTAAAGTGTTATTAAACAAAGTTCATTTGTTACAGTTGAGCTTTTCGCTCCGTGCATATATGTTTTTATCTCTCATATATTCATATTCTTATCTTTTGCTTATATTAGGTTATTGATGTTTGTATGAGTAAATAAAAGAGAATTCAGTACGCTCTAGTTTTACTTACCCTACCATAGACACACTCTAGTTTTCCCTTAGTGTAGCTATGCTGCCAAAGGTCGCACAATTGTCTGCTTGCCGGCCATAAAACTTATGCACATAGAATGATATATTCAACTAGTCTTGTCTGCTATTGTCCAGAGAATATGCCGACATTTAACGAGCTCTGACATCTTGCTCAATGTCATTTGGCACCTACATAAGTACCTATCTGGCTGGCGCCTACCTGCGCTCGCGACCTCTGCACCTGTCCTACTCAGATCTCTACCCATACACACACATGCATTAAGTTATTCATCCGCTTCTTGCTGGTGCTGTGAATCAGCATCGCAATTATTGCACTATTATTACTATATGTACATATACATAGAGCCGAATATATAGAAATGCGCCTACTTTCTCACATGTGTGTGTAGAGTTAATTACACAAGTTGTTTGTGTTGTAGCTGCCGGGAAATTACCAAACGTATCGTAATGCGGTTGACTCATTTAATGCTCCCTCCGCTCTTCCTCGCTCCGCCGTTAGCCCCTACACCTCTGCCGCTTATCGTACCTGAGCCACTCAGGTGAGTTTCTTGTTTACACTCCCTCTGGCCAGCTAGCCCTTAGCACTTATATTTGCCCATTTGCATTGAGTTTTTGCTTCCGACGTTTTAAAGCTACTTCTCCTCCACTCAGTTATGTTTATTAACTTTTTCCTCCTCGAATTGTTATTGTTTGCTATCGACTGGATTCCAGTTATTTACAAAATGCGGGCTCCCTCGGATCTTATTAATTCGAGCATATCTTTTATTGAAAGCAAATCGAGAAGCAAACATATTACCATATGTATATATATATATATATATATATATTATCTCAGCACAATTTTAGCTGTAGCTAGCTCTATAATCTGCTTTATCTACAAAAGAACATATTTCGAGCTCATGTATCTTATTTAGGATTCTACATACTAAATTTGATACTTATCGCTTTTATAGTCCACTTATGCAAATCTCATGCGAAATATAAGGAGAAGATATTTGACCATGGTACTTAGACAAAATTGTATATAACATAATGTAAAACACAAAACAGAGATTTTGGTCAGATAAAGCTATCGAACTTATAGATCGACATGGTGCCATTAAATGAAATCTTAATCAACCAGACTTTTGTTAGCTATTCTCGGTTCGTAAAGTAAATTCCCTCTTCTATAAAGGCATTTGGTTGTAATAATAATGATGGTAGCATTAATCATTTTTCAGTCCTTATAATATGCGGTGGATATGCAAGTCGTGCTATTTTTATTTCTACCTCTTTTATAGGCTTCTCTCTATATTTTAAAGCCAGTAAAGTAATACTAATGAAATTTAGACAATTTAATTTCATTTCTATGTTCTGGCTAAAAAAAATAAAATAAAATAACAAGAATAGTTTCTTCGAGAAAAGTTATTCACATGGTGCTATTTTATATTCCGCAAGAGAAGTTTTCAATTTCAAGTCAAACAAAGCAACAGTTTCTCAGCAAGAAACATAAGAAATATTTTTGTTATATTTGTAAATTTGTTCACACTTGTTTACGAATGACAATTTGTAGGTATTTCATTTATTTATTTGACTGTAGTATTTGCTATAAATTATACGTGGAAAATTGCAATCTAAAAAAAAAAACAAATTGCTTGGACTTTGTATTTGTGCGCGGCTTAACGGGTTGTCTGCGTATGTGTATGCATGTCTCCAAACGCATCTGCACACATATATAGTGAGTGGAAAATGTTCAAAGTGCGAAAATTTCAATTTCACACGGGCGAAAGCCAATGTCGCTCCTTCTCCATATGGAACTTCTGCCCAAGCAGACGCTGGGAGCAGCTGTGGGAGCTCATCGACAGCTGTACGCCCTGCCGTTACGAGTTCTTCCCCTACATCTTCTGGTTGGTCCTGCTTATCAGCGTGACGGGAGCCTATCGAAGCCTCGGCGAATGCGTCCACATCTATTGCATCTCCAATCAATCACTGGACATGTGGCGACCCCGCAAGTTTTACGTAATCAACATGGACGTTCTGCGCATGAGCCGAATGGTAGGCGCCATTATCAACAGCTATGCCTGGCTGCTAATGATTTATGCGCTTATCAATGTGAGTATTATTCAAATATCTGACATCGTACAGACATACTGCCTACGCTCAGTCATATACTAATTCGTGCCTGATCCTATTTAGACTAAGCCAGATTTCATGATGCCATGGCTAATATTGAATACCATCATGCTGGGTCTGGACTTTTTGTTCTGGGTGTTAGAGGTGCTAACAGGGCGATTGACACTGCATTTGAGCTCTATTTTGTCCATGCTTTTATTGCTCTGCACCCTGGCTCTAGTCAACTGCGTCAAGACGGTGTTTCAGAATGCGATTAAATACAATATGGTGGAAACCCTAAGATTATTAGGGCCGGAATTGATATCACTCTTTTTTTAGGCCATGTCAGATTGGGAACAACTCAACTTCAACTTCAAAACGCAGCGCGAACCCCAAGTGGCAGCTCAGTACAAAGTACAAGCTGTAGCACCTTTTGGGTCTCATTAAATTGAATGGTTATCATTAAAAAGGTGGAGCACCTCCTAATTGTATCAAAAACTGAGTTTCCTCCCCACAGCTGCCTCAACTGGCCGCCTGGCCGGCTGGCCGGCTGCATTAAGCTCAATTAACCGGCACGCACACTGACTGCGCGACTGACTGACAGACTGACGGACTGACGTGCTGGTTGGCAACATCGTGCAGACCTTAATCAGTACCCGTGTGGCAGGTACAGCCTCAGTTTTAAGTATAGCTACAGCTGGGGCCCGTGCCTAGCAAACACCTTGCGAAAGCTAAACCAAACCCAACCAAACCTTCGCCCTACCCTCACTTAAGTAGCCTGTTTATATACAGATCTGCATCGAGGCACTTTAGCTTTTGCGTACGCCTTGTCCGTTAGAGCAAGTTTTTTCAAGTGAACCTATTCACTGATCACTGTAGATCATTAGCTTTCGATAAATAAATACTTCGGATGGTAAGATATTCGAATCATAAAGTGAAGTGTGAAGTGGGAACTCTTGCTATAGAGTAACATAGATGGCACTCAAAGATATTTTTCTTTCAAATATATTAATTTTGAAATTATTATACGTATTATATTGTACATATATTATTTATCTACTTCATATCTAAATTCTTCATTTAAGGGAATACAAAAGTCGCTGAGAGCTTTCCTTTTTGCTTTGCCTGGCGCTGGCGATTTTAGGAATTGCACCTGTTCTGCTCAAGCTGCAAGCTGCAGGCACCGAAATCTATACTCAATTAAAAATAAAAAGAAAATAATAAACAAAAAACAAGAAACAGAAAAATTGAAACACAGCCTGAACGCTTAACAAGAGGGTTAAAAACATACGAAAAGAGAAGAGCAAAAAGCCGCTGGGCCAGTTATGTGACAGTCGCAGATAGCCTCAAAATGCGGGGCAGTCGAGGACATTGCAGCCAAAGGTTACAGCTGGCTCCTCGAGTGCCGTCCGAAGCTGAAGTTGCCTTCTGATTCTGTTTCAGCTGAGATAAGCAATTTTACTGAGATAAGATCAATAGATTCAGCTCTATCTATATGATTGATAACAATTGGCAAAACTCAGGGAACTGCCACACCTTGACGGGGGACCATCCAAGTACAAGAATATTTTATAGAGATATAGATATAATCCACAATGCAAAACTAGGTAGATATCGCCTCTATTACTCTGAAAGATTTCGCTTCAGTACATATGTGCTGACTGACAAACAAACGATTGATTTAAGTGAATATACATATGTATATAAGCATTAACTAACTCGAGTTTAAGGCAAGAATCAAGCAATATTGCTCATCGGTATTGGTTAAATAAAATAAAATATCTTCGGGCTGCTTTTGATTGTGATCTTATAATGACATTGCGATAATGTATTTCGCATAGCAGATATATATTTATAATAAAGTTAGGTTAAACATTATTATTTAAAAAAAAAAAAAAAAAAAAAAAAAAAAAAAAAAAAAAAAAAAATTTTTTGTTATAGTTCTAAAGTATGTCTATAAGTTGAATTTTTAAGTTATATAAAAAAAAAAAATAGCAGCTATTAATTTGTCCAAGAGTGTATATAAACACAAGGAATAAATTCCATCTTCATGAATATTTCTATTATTATAAATAATGATTCTATACAGTCTTACAAATACTGTCTTATAAAATATGAAACAACTAGTTTTCAAGTTTAATAGTTGATTTACTAAAACCTACATACTTATGTATAAGTTCTCCTTGAAAACTGAACAATTTTGTAAGTGTTGCATTAGAACTGTGGAAGGTACAATGCAAAGATTTTTCCAAGATATTACCAGACGAAGAGAACAAAACACTCGTCTCCCTGTCCATCCGGCCGTCTGTGCAGCCATCTATCCGTCAGTCCGTCAGATTGTGAAATAAAACGAAAGTGAAACGCCGAATGCGCTTTCGCATCAGGGACAATGCAATTTTTTGTGACTCGCCCTCTCTATGCAATTCTGTCAGGATGAATGACGGCCGTTGAAACTCTTCTTATGTTCTGGAGACTCCGCAGAGACTTCAGCTACCGGAAATTGACAAGACGTCGCACAGTGGGGACTTTGCTCATTTTGCTTTGCAAAAATCATAACTTTTGAACCAAACAAGATATTTCAAACATTTAAAAAGCATTCGACAGAGAATTCTTCAAGCTATAAATAAACCAAAATACAGGGT